AGCCGGCGGTCTCCCGGTGCAAGTGCGATGCAAGTCAATTCTTTCAAAATGGCCCTCTACAGCGTGGTCTTTTTCGAGCGCGAGAACTGCTAGCCAGAACGGCTGGCAGAACAGGGAAATATTCAATCGCCGTGCGCCGATCGGCAAGAGCAGAGGGCTACCTTTGCCGGAATACGAACACCATACCGCACACGCATATGAAAATCGCATTCAAGGAATTGGAGGGGTCTCTCAAGTTTATCGGGCAGGACGTTTTTGTCATCCTTGGAGATGCAGTATATCGACGAAAAGTCGGTTGGCCAATGGGGGGAAGCTGATCTGAAGCAGGAGCTTTGTCTGACCTTGGCGCTGACATCCAATACTTTTACAACGACCCAGCCAGAGCACGGAACGCCGGCGTCCACCTCGAAGGCTTCGCGGTGGAAGACCTCATGCACGGCCCCCTGTGCGTGGATGACTCCCTTGTCATGTCAAACATATTTTGCTCTTCGTGCCTGTATTCGTCAATGCGTAAATTATGGCCTTGTGAAGTGGGAGTGTCCTGCGAGGCACAAAGCCCTCCACTCACTTATCTTCAATCATGCATCAAACCTGAAGGGGACAACTTCGAGGTGGTGCCCTTCTCAGTTAACTTCGAGTATGCCCGGGGCCTATCAGCGAAGCCAGAACTCGCAAAGTTCACCGCTTTCTATTCAGCTCCACAGCGGTTATCGTTAGATATTCGACGAACACTACTGCACGAACGGATCCTCACGTATAACACAATCGCAGAAGGAGACCCGCGTCGAGCCCAAGCCTTCTGCGACTGCCTTACGGACATGCTCAGGCTGGAATGGCCTATGGCGTGGACAGCTAGAGCATGCAGATCGATCCCACGAAGGCAGCGGTCTACATTCGTTAGAGTGGTCAAGGTGTACGGTTGTGTTTTATCAAAGCTGGAGACAACTACCCCATGATTTCCGGAGAGTTGTTTTGAGAATGGGTATGTGCACAAGTGGGTTAACAACATGTTCATGGACATCTGCATCCGCTGTCATATTGGCTCAACAACAACTTCTCAAGCCACCGGCTTGTAGCAGCAGTCCAATCGGTACTTCTAGCAGCAGTCCAATCAGTCCAAGTATCCATACCGTGCTTTTGCTACAACTTGTCATCCTCGTCTCCTTCCTCCAGCGTGCAGTCGCCGGGCGGGGTGGGTACGGCCGCGGCGCGTGTGGGTGCGGAGGCGGGTCCGGTCATGGTAATGGTGGCGGCGGTAGAGGACGCAACCAGCAGCGCCGGTCATACTGTGGAGAGCGAGATCAAGGATTCATTCCTGCTTGGCTTACAGACGAGTTGAACGAATCACGCCGGTTCCATGAGAAGCCAGAGAGAAAGAGAAAGAAAAAGAAGAGGACCGACAGAAGGACAAATCTATGTTTCGACGAATCCAGAAGCATACCGAAGCAGCAGTGGCTTCCTTCTTCCCAAAGAAAGAATCCAAGAAGGATAAGATCAATAACAAACAAACTGTGGCACGTGATGGCAAAGAAAAGAGTATCCCCTTCGAGATTCTCAAATTTGCCAAGTCTGCCACACGTCGCCTCCGCAAACAAGGCAGCACAACATCTAGCAACACGGCCATTTCGTCATCTTCTTCCTCGAGCGTATCTTTCAAGAAGATGAAGAAGTTGTTTGCAAAGCGCCGGAGGGACTCGCGCATAGAGCGTGCGCGCGATGACCACGACATGGCAATGTGGATGCAGCAGAGCACCGCCGGTGTACCGACGTCGGCTGCGCCTCCCGGGCCTCCGACACCCAAGGTTCCCAGGCAGCTAAAGATGCCGGGAGCACCGGCGCCTGCGGCCGGCTCGGACCCAGTGCTCGAGGGGATGGCCAAGGCGATCATCCCAGACGAAAGCATCACCAATTGGGACAAGGAGCATGGCGCCTTCCTCGAGGCCATGTCCGGTGCGACAGGCGTTACGACTATTGCACTGAACGCTAGTCTAACCGAGAGTGAACTCAGCACCACGTCTGGTGGGAGCCAGAAGGCCAAGCTGCAGCAAATCTACGAGTACATGTCGAAGCCATGACGTCGTTTCCGGTTGCTGCGGTCATAAGCTTCTTCGAAGCTTGCATATGGATGTCCATGCCATTCCTTACGCTGGTCGATCTACTCTTGCTGGCCATCGAGAGGGCGTCGCGCCTGATATCCCCAGTGAATGACGGTTTTGCAATCTTGCTTGCAGTGGTGATCACGATTTCCATTTTTGCTGCTGTGGCAAACTGGGTGGGTTTTTCAGCAGCAGCAGAAATAACGGTCACTGCATATGCTACATTGTTTGCTGAATTGACTCCGCTCTTCTCAGACACCACTGTAATCTATCCAGCATTTACAATCTAGTCTAACATCTTGCTCTCTGCTCCTGTCTTGCCGGTATGTTTCGTAAGCATCATTTGCCTGTGGTGCCGTGTCGTTTTCTCGATCCTCCTCCTCTTCCCTTGCATATCAGGAGCTTTCATACGTGCAGTTTTCGTTCGTGCGATCTTCCTGGTTCGAGACCAGGCAGAGGAGTGATGATGGCGTAACTGGTAGTCCTCGTTCCAAAGGCGGGGCATCTGCAATGGCGTTTTGTGATACTTCGTCGTGCTCGTGAGTGCCCGGAATATCGTCTCATTGCGTCATAGTCCATTACCGTTGTACCAGAGGAGGAGGAAGAGGAGGAGGAGGAGGAGGAGGAGGAGGAGGAGGACGAGGAGGAGGAGGAGGAGGAGGAGGAGGAGGAGGAGGAGGAGGGGGGACGAGGAGGAGGAGGAGAGGAGGAGAGGAGGAGGATGTAGGAGGCCGCCGCTCCTGCCGCCGCCAACTCCTCCTCGAAGGTATACCCTTCCCCCCTCGAGGGATGGCTTCGAGGAAGCCTCCCTCCTCCTCCCCTCCTCCTCCTCCTCCTCCTCCTCCTCCTCCTCCTCCTCCAACCTTTCTTCTTTCTCCCCCCTCCCCCCTCCCTCCCTCCTCCTCTTCCTCCTCCCTCCTCCTCCGCCTCCTCCTCCTCCTTCTCCTCTTCCTCAAGGGAGGCCCTCTGAAGACCGCCCTCTTCCTAAATGCCCCTCGACCCTCGTCGATGGAGGCGCGGTCCAAAGGCGCCCGCCGAGGAGCCGCCGCCGCCGCGGCCCGCGAGGCCCCGCTCGAGGTCGGAGGCCAACTCCAGCTCCGCCTCGCCGCTCAGCGGCGGGCGGACGACACATAGCTTCCGCCTCCTCCTGCCCCTGTCCCGCCTCCTCCTGCCCCTGCTTCGCCTCCTCCTTTTCCTCCTCCTCCTCCTCCCTCCTCCTCCTGCTCCTCCTCCTCAGCCTCATCCTCTTCCTGCTCCACCTCCTCCCCGTGATCCGCCTCCTCCTACCCCTGCTCCGCCTCCTCCTCCTCCGCCTCCTCCTGGTCATCACCATCACCACCACCACCACCATCACCACCCATCACCATCACCATCACCCATCACCATCGTCATCATCATCATCATCATCATCATCATCATCATCATCATCATCATCATCATCATCATCATCATCATTATCATTATCATTATCATCATCATCATCATCATCAGCATCATCATCATCGTCATCATCATCATTATCGTCATCATCACCACCACCATCACCATCACCATCACCATCACCATCGCCATCATCATCATCATCATCATCACACTAATAATTATCATCATCATCAGCATCAACATCATCATCAGCATCATCATCACCATCATCATCATCATCACCACCACCATTCATCATCATCATCATCATCATCATCATCATCATCATCATCATCATCATCATCATCGTCATCGTCATCATCATCACCACCATCATTACCATCGTCATCATCATCGTCAGCATCAACAGCAGCATCAGCATCAGCGCGTAGGATGTCCCCCCAACCCAGTACAACGGCTCGTGTCCCCATGTGGAGCTCCACCGAGGACCCCAATGGCTGCACTCGCATGCGTCTCCCCCGCCCAATACGGTGTTTCGGGGGGCCATATGGGGGCTCCACCGACGGCCCCAATGGCTGCACCCGCATGCGTCTCCCCCACCCGGTACAGCGGCTCGTGGCCCCGTAGGTTCCACCGAAGGCCCCAGTGGCTGCACCCGCATGCGTCTACAATGGTTCGTGCCCCCATCGGCTCCACAGAAGGCCCCACTGGCTGCACTCGCGCGCGCCCCCCCCCGTCCAATACAGCGCGTCGTGGCCCAATTGGGAGCCCCACCCAAGGCCACAATGGCTGCACGCGCATGCGGTTCCCCCGCCCCGCCCAATACAGCGTTTCGTGGCCCCATAAGCTCCACCGAAAGCCCCAATGGCACCGTCTGCACGCCCCCCCCCCACATACAACGTTCCGTTGCCCTATAGGGAGCTCCGCCCGAAGCCCCAATGGCACTTTCCGCATGCGCATCCCCCATCCAATACAACGCTTCGTGTCCCCATAGGTGGGCTCCACCGAAAGCCTCAATAGCACCGTCTGCATGCGCCTCCCCCGCCCAATACAACGCTTCGTGGCCCCATAAAGAGCTCCACCGACGCCCCAGTGGAACCGTTCACATGTGCCCCTCCCGCCCAATACAACGTTTCGTGCCCACACAGGGAGCTCCACCGAAAGCCGCCTCAATGGCACGGTCCACATGCGTCGCTCCCACCACGTGCGGCGTTTCGTGGCCCAACAGGGAGCTCCGCCGAAGGCCCAAGTGGCAAAGTCCATGCGTCTCCATGGTCCAATACAGCGTTTCGTGGCTCACTGGGAGCTCCACTGAAGGCCCCAGTGGCAGGATTCGCATATGTCTCCCTCCGTCCAGTACAGCGTTTCGTGGCCCACAGGGACCTTCACAGAAGGCCCCAGCGGCAAAGTTCGCATGCGTCTCATGGCGCTTCGTGGCCCCACGGGGAGCTCCACAGACGATACCCACAACTACGGTACTCACAACTACATATTGTTGGGTACTTCGCCATGCTAATGGTTTTCCTCTGCGACGAAATCAGCAACCCCGCAATACGTACTATGGGATGTATGCAACTAGAGGGCCAGAGAAGGAACGCAGGCAGGGGGCACGGATAACACATGGGGACAGGAGAACATGCTTCACACGCCCGTGGCGTCAACATAATTGGCGGAATAGTGTTTGCGTGCGCGACTGGGTCGAATCGCCGCACATGCAGTCTGCACCAAAACCAGTGTAGCGACTCGTCCTACCATGAAGCCGCCGTAGATGACGCAACCTGGAAAACGCGTGTCTACGAAGATCCTATCCTTTCACCCTTCTTCCTCATCGCCCCCCGCCCTATTGATCTCCCTCCTCCTGCATGTGCCTGTGGCAGACCGTATGGCCAAACTCGCGGCCGGCTGTGTCTGGCCAATGCTGACTCGCCAGACAGGTCGAGAGAAGTCTAGCTGTATGACACAGCACTTCCATGCCGAGACCCTCAAGGCACAACCCAGCGCAAGCTAAACCAAGCTCAGTTCAAGTTCGCCAGACCAAGTCAAGCAACTGTAAGCTCATATCAGCGTGCTGCTATGGTCAATCGAAAACCAACACAAGCTGATCGCTCCTGTGATCCGACTGGTATGCTCGCCTTCTGTTTCACTGATTCCAGGTAGTTTGCTTCGAGGAGAAACCCCGTAAACAAAAAACGCAACACATCACCGACAAGCCAAATCTGGATGGTCTGGATGTGCAGAGAATGTGAATCACCCGTGCCGCAATACCCGGCTTCGCTGGGAACGATGCCGCACCTTCTCTATTCCACGCACGCTCCTGCGAACAGGCGTGCCAAACCGCCGAAGACGCTGAATCCCAGTCGGACGGGAGAATCTCGGATCAAGTGCTATCGCTGTGCTGGTCGCAATTGATGCTGAATTGCCGAGTTGGCGGGGTCTGGTCAGACCGAGAGTGGCCGTTCGGCCTCGCTCGGGTCGCGGATGGTGCGACGAGAGTGGTTTCTTATGCCCAGGTGCTTTTTCAGAGTGAGGTCGATATCGTCAACGCGCTTGCACAGCAAGCGCGACTGTTGAATCAGGCTGTAGACATCAATGCTGCGGGCTACCCCCTTGAGGCGCAAGCACCCGTCCAAAAACTCGTCCACGTCGAGTTCACCATCGTGGTTCACGTCGAGAAGCTCGAACAACCGCTCCGTGTCATGCACGTCCAGCCCGAGCGCGGTGAGATAATACTGCACGCGCTCGTGGGTACAGAAATCCGATACCTCGTCCTTGCTCACCGTCCCAGAGCGATCAACGTCCATCTCTAGGAAGATGCTGCGCATCTCGCTGCGCCACTGCTGCTTGACCTCCATCTCTTTCTGCACCAAAAACTCCCGCTGCGTGCTTGCCGTCTGCACTGCGTTGTCCACAAACACACCAGTAATGATCCGGGGGCCACCAGGGTGTGCGGCACAAGCTTCAGTATCTCAGTCTCATGGCACTGGGCAATGCATTGTGGCAGTTAGCCGCAAAACAGTTTTCATCCGATCAGCTTAGAGACTCAACAATACTATGTGGGTTCTGCTGAACTCATTCAAACCTCAGATGTCATAACCTTTGCATGGATGAGAACGCGCACGATCCTCGTGGGCCGGGAAACGCAATTCTTACGTACTCTCACCGAGCCGTGCTCTCTCAACCTTAGGGTGCTTTTGGGCCCCGTAGAAGGACGTTGGAACCGCACTTCCAAGGCCACTGTCCTTTTCTAAACCTGTTTTCGAGCACAACAGGATGCGCTGCTGCAGACGTACTGTTCCGTAGCCTTTTCGGCAATCCTGGGTCATGGTACCTTCTGCACAAACCGCTGGGCCTGCGCTGCCTCGGAGTTCTCTTGGTATCCTTTTGAGCCATCCTGGGAGCTCTTTCGGGGGCCTCTTGGGCGCTTCTTGGAGCTCTCGGGGTCCACTTGGGCGCTTCTTGGAGCTTCTTGAGCCGTTCTTGGAGCTCTTGGGTCTTTCGGGGGCCTCTCGGGGTCCTCTTGGGTGATTCTTTGAGCTTATTGAGCCGTCTTGGCGGCAGCTGTAGTGCCATCCAGACTGCGCGCGCCGACATTAGGTTGGCAGGATCCCAACTCGGGGCTTGACGCCAGGCGGTGACGGACGGGGACAACAGGAACGAGAGAGGCGAAGAGAGGCAGGCGGGGGGCGAGGAGGAGAAGCATGATTATCGTCGGGCATGCCAATCCATCAACCGATCAATCACCCAATCATTCAGCCAGCAACCAGGCATCCAGTCAATCAAGAAGGGGTGCCAGCGTCAGGGGCGAAGCCCTTCAGATATTCATCACGACGAGCATTGTGAACGACAGATAGCCTATAAATGCGAATGCCAAGAAAGGACCTGTCCAACCAGGGATGGTATACAGCGCGGACGGTAAAGTGTACCAGCTGATGCCGTTGAGCATGCTGTGGAATAGGGTGTACAGAGTCAACCACAGGTTGCCGAAGTGCTCATCGATGTGGATGGACGTGTTACCCTTTCCCTGACGCCTCATGTGCTCGGTGGTATAATGCGTGAAGAAAATACCGAACACATAAATGACGAGTCCCAACAAGACGAGGGCCCACATCAACGATTTAACAGAATCTATGATCATGAACGCCAACTGGCTGAGCTTGTTAAAGAATCGGAATACCCTCACAACGCGGACAATCCTCAACATCTTGATCGTCCCGTGGTCGCTTTGTCGTCATGCGGGCAAGCGAGCTCAGGAGCAGCAAGGCTGAGCCCTTTCGCGCCGATGCACAGTCGGAGTCGTCAGCAATCAATTGGTTTCGGTCGTCTGCTTGACCACTGACAACCGAACACTTGCTGACTGCTGATAAAACCGGAGCCCGTTGACTGTTTGACATCTCCGACTGTGCATCGGCGCGGGGTGGAGGGCTCTGCCTGGACGGATGCGGAAGAGGAGGAGGCGGAGGAGGAGGAGGAGGCGGAGGAGGAGCAGGCGGAGGAGGAGGGGGAGGGGGAGGAGCAGGCGGAGGAGGGGGAGGAGGCGGAGAAGGAGGAGGAGGACGAGGAGGAGGACTGCCCCTCCGCCAGTCTCCGCCGGGACGGCCGAGCGACCATGGGGATGGTCTTGAAGCCCGCACCCGCCCCGATGGTGGAGGCCGCTCCGCTACCGTCCGCCAAAGACACGCCGTCGAAGACCTGCGAGGCCCACGCACCGGCCACCAGTCCCACGTCCGCCTCCTCCTCCTCCTCCTCCTCCTCCTCCTCCTCTCCTCCTCCTCCTCCTCCTCCTCCTCCTCCTCCTCCTCCTCCTCCTCCTCCTCCTCCTCCTCCTCTCGCCCGTCGGCGGCGGCGAGCGAGCGAGCGGCGACGCCCCGCCCACCCCGCGCCCCTGCGGGCGCCCCCGCGCCGTTCAGGACGGCACCGTCTCGGCTCACCACGCCCCGCCCCGGACACACAACGACCCACGTCCTCACTTGAAGAAGGCGGGGGGGGCGGAAGAGGGGAAGATGGGGCTGGTGGTCCTAGCGAGGGTCTCGGAAGGACCGACATCGCCACGAGGACAAAGTCGAACCAGTTCCAGTTTCTGTTGTCGGAGAGGACGAAGAAGTGTCGCATGCCATCAGCGACAATGCGGAGCACCAGCTCGATGAAGAAGAAACAGCTACACAACAACCCCAAGATTTGGGTCGCCGCCAGCTCTGTCTCGTGCGTAGTCAGCCACTGGACCTCGACGCCAATGATGATGGAGTTGGTGATGATCATGCAGGCGCAAGCCAAGTCGAACGAAAAGTGGCCAACAAAACGCTGCAGGTGGGTCCCGTCCAGATTTACCGAAGAGCCCTTGATCTTCTTTTGTTGCTGGTGCAGGTTGTGCGTCAAAGTCCTTCGTGTTGCAGGCGGCATGGCAACTGACACCTGCTTGCTCAGGGCCACGGCGGTTGCCTGCTTCTGAATGGCGGTGCGCGCGGGCGTCGTTGCGACGACCCCAGCGTGTGAGGGGCGGCACGATGCCTTCGACGTGTTGCCGGCAGCATTGTCCCAGACGTCCTGCATCTCGCTCGCCATCTCGCTGGCGATCTCAAACATCAGGTCAGACACGGCAGACCACTCATCCGCAGCCGACGAAGGCTCCTCACGGATCCGCCCGAAGGTGCCCTGCGCCCTGCTCGGCTGCACGCAGGAGCCACGCTGGGCAAGAAAAGCCTTCGGTGCGCGGTCTTCGGGGGGAGGGGGGGGGGGCGAAACCAGGCGCGCAGGCCTGTGCCAGGGGGCCCCGTGGGCCCGCACCCGAAGGTCACTCTGGCGAGGGGCCACTCGTACGCGCAGCCGACCTTTGGAGGAGCGCCCGGTAGTGCTCCACCTGGTCCTGCAAGACGACCACCTGAGCGACGAAAGCGAACGGGACTTACTGAAGGGGCTCTGGGACACACAAGTAAATACACAAATGACAGGATTCCAAATATTTCTCACTATTTTCTGGATTTTGTATTCTCCCCCACTTCCCATATTTCCCCATATTGTCCTGGGGGTCGACGATTCGTTGTGTCTGTGTGTTTCTTCCCCTCCTGACTTACGCGAGACGGCGTAGCGACGTTGCGCGGTGGCTCACGCGGGCCGCGAGCGCGGCGCGCTCCATTGACAACGAAGGCGCCTACAGGCAACCTGTATAACAACTTGAGACCGCCTGGGGGTCCTGAGCTATAGGGACGTCAAGACGGAAAGGGTCCGTCAAAGGGGGTCCGACGCCATGGTCGTCGAGACCAAACTTGCGTTCGAGAATCCGCACACCCCAACTTACATGGTCCAAGCCGAGTGCCGCGACCCACAAAGCCTTTGCACTCCGAGCGAAATTGCACGATCAACTGGGCCTGTTGTCCAACTGAAGCGGTCTTGTTCTTCTCCCTCCTGCTCATTATAGTTCCCCCTGTCTTCGTCCTCCTCCACTACCTCCGCATGATCTTTAGTCAGCCGTCCCATCCTTCCCGTGATCATTCCTCCCTCCCCTCCTCGTGTTTGCGCCCGTTCGTCGAGCTATTCCTGTTCCGTCCGAGGGGGGGGCCGTGCCAGACGTCTGACCCTGAGCGGTGAACTGGACCGACGCATCGGATGGAGGGTCGAGTTAATGAATACAAAGCGGCCAACGACGAACTGATAGGAAAAGGGTCGGGGAAGGGAGGAGAGCGGAGGATGCAGACGTAAGCGGAGGCGGAAGTCAGGGGCACGAGCGGGGTGGGGCAGTGAAGCGCGAGAGGATGTGACGGATCAGGGCGATGAGAGGACTGCGAACATGTTTTCTGTGTTCTCCATGCCCTCGCGTCCTCGCTGCTGGAGCCTCTGGTCGGACTGAGCTCGCAGTCATCGGGCAGCTGGTAGAAGGGGGTTAGTGGGGGCGGAAACGCAGGGAGAGGGCGGGGAAAATGGCAGGGGTGAGGCCTAGCGCGCGAGGTCCCCGTGCGAGGGGCCGTCTTCTAAGGCGAGCGTGCTTGCGTTGCTCCCTCCTCCTCCTTGTCTCTCCCTGCCCCCCCTCCCTCAGTGGCATTGAAGACGAGGGTGGTTGGAAGAGGCCCTGGAGGAATACCTGAAGGAAGGGGCAGGGGAGGATATGACTGCATCGACGCTGAAGAATGCCCGCAGCAACAACCCTCCCATGGGCCCCTTTCCCTCCACCGTGCCGCTGCTTCTGAAGCGGCGGCCTAGTCCGTGCATCGGCGCAGCCCGCTCCTCACCGCACCCTTCGGGCGGCCATAGTCCATCCTGCCCTCGGGATTAGAGCCGCGCTGCAGCTCATCGCCGAGAAAACTCGAGTCGTTGCCGCCGCCCTCCGCCTTAACTGCCTTGAGCTTTTCTCCGCTCTCGGCGGTGCTGCCGCTGCCCTTGCCCCGAACAGCTGGGGCCCCCCTTGGAGCTGCCGACGCCCGATCCGCTCGAGGACTTCGTCTGCTTGCCAACTGCCGCCTCGCCGCAGTCTCCAGACTTAGTGCCGCATGCCGTTTGAGCTCCGCACGTCATCGTGAGCGACGCCAGCTCGCTCCCGAAGGCTTCTTGAATCCTTTCGTTTTTCTGCACCTTGTGCTTCCGTGGGAAGGCCCCGGCCATGGCGCCGCCCACAGGCTTGTCGCCGAACTCGGACAGCAAGGCCGTTCCCCGCACCATGACGACAGCCTGGTTCGCTTTTCCCTGGGTGGGGCTTCGAACAGGGGTGGCACGCATGTGATGAGATCTGCTCTGCGTCCTCCGTCTTCTCTCCCCGGTTCGTTCTCCTCCGCCTCCCTTCTTCCTCGTTTACTCATTCGGTGCCTGACCTCCTCCTCCTCCTCCTCCTCCTCCTCCCCCCCACCCACCCTCGTCATTCCTGCTCCTCCCCGCCCCATCCTCGCGCGCCGCCCCCTTTTGAAGCCCCTGGCCAGCATCTCGACGCCGACGGCAACCGCCCGCGCCGTGACCTCGTGGACCTGAACGTTCGGCGCGATGGCCAACGTATCCCAAGCTGCCGAAACCTTGCTGAGGCACTGATGGAGCATGTTGTACTGCTTGACTACATTTCCCAGCGAGTCGCCGAAGATGCGGTTCGCCATTCTCGTGTCCATCCTGCCCTGGTTGAAGGCTGCCCCCGATGGGGGGGCGCTTTCCATGCACTTGTCCGGTTGAGCTTCCAGGTGGGCCGCCGTGATCTCGAGCACCCTGGCCCCTGCCTTCTTCGAAAAGATCGCGGCGTTGTTGCTGAGCCACCCGCGCGGGGATAGGAGGGTCATCGGGGGCTCCCGCCCGTTTCCTTCGAGGTGTAGCGCATCATCCGAATTGAAGGCCTGGTCGAGTCTCAAGATGCTCTTGGCAACCGTGCCTGGGACTTAGATCGCAGTGGCGTGCGTCGTCTCTTCGTAGATGGTGCTTCCGTGCCTGCAACGTTCTTGAACAACATGATCTGGCGCGTGGCGCAGCGCGACGCGAGATCCCTCGTCTCGTTGGCAATGTTGATGAGCGTGAAGACGTCATCCTTCGCCATGAACTTCTGGCTCGCTTCCGTGAGGCCTCGGCGCGATGGCGTGACACTATCTTTCAAGCCGCTCGCATTCATGAATTCGGTCAAGTTCTTCTGCGCCATGTTGTGCTTGAGCTTCCCGAGCTCCTCCGTGACGTCACCGCTGCCGACAGGGGCACCTGGGGCAACCGGAGAGTCTATGTTGGTCACGTCGCGAAAGATCATCTGAAAGATCGACGCTGTCTTGGCCTGCCCGATCACGTCTTTGTGAATCTCGCCCGCCGTGGACCTCGGCGCAATCTCGATGCTGTTGATCGCCGACTCCACCGAGAGAGTTTGGCCCTGACGGTACATCTCGTCGCCTATGTAGACAGGGCGCAGCATTCCCAGCACCAGCTCGCCTAACCTCGCTCTATGTCCCCCCCCTCCCGATCCCCCACCCCTCCTCATTCCATTCCCAGTCGGTGCCGGGGATGCCCGCCCGCGAGCCCTCAACGCCGCGCGCGTCGACCGTCATTGCGCGCGCCCAGTCGCCGATGCCACCGATGAAGCGCTTCATCTGATCGATCATCTCCTTGACCAGGGACTCGTGCATCGCCGAGCACGTGGCATTTCTGAAGTCAGGCTCGCCCCTCGTATGCACCTCTCTATTGAGAACCGCCATGCTGATAACGTTCGTCTCGAACTGCTCCTTCGCAGTAGCCCTGGAAGTTTGAATCTCTATATCCACCGACAGCCTGACGAACCGAACAACGTCCTGCAGCTGGATCACCGCGCGATCAATCGTGAGCTCGAAAGTCAGCTTCGAGAGGTCGCTCTCGTCAAACTTCCCGTTGGCCCTGCCGCCTGCGCAAGATGAGAAAGCCATCGTACTGCCCCGCCCGCGATTGTGCAAATCCTTAAGGGCACCTCCGAACACAATGAGGCTGGCGTTATAGTTGCGGAGCCCGTGGTCCATATCCAGGATCTTCTCTTGTACGGGGATGAACTGCTGCCGGAAATCCTCTCGCTCCGCGTCGCCCCCCCCATGTTTTTGATCGCAGTGGGCACGGGGCGGTAATCCATGAGCCAGCCCCTCAAATATTCCAGCCTCATACCAATAGAACCCCAGAAGGCATCGATCGAGAAGTAGTTTCCGCGCCGGGGCATCTCGATTGCGTTGGCCAGACAATCGGTCACTTTGTCCACGTTCGAATGCACTCCAGCTGTAGACCACCTCTGCGATGGCCCCTTGATCACAGTGAAGAGTAAGCCCGGCTCCAGAAACAGATCCTTCATGCCGTCGAGGTCCCCGTCGCACTGCACCATCGAGCTATCTCGCCAGAGCTCGATATCATTGAACGCCGCGCCGAAGGTCTTCTCAACGTGCTGCTGGGCGCGGATGAAGCTCGCGGTATCCGTGCTGTCCCCCGCGCTCTGCTGGGCGTGTAGCCTTGAGACATCCCTGGGCAATTTGGGCACCGCGTAGCTGACCATGATCTGGGCAAGCTCTGCAGTTGGGTTGCCACTCTGCCTCGCGGTGTCGAGGAAAACTCGGCGCGCCAATCGCACTTCGCGGGAATCTGGCCTAGCCCTCTCCAGGGGCAAGCTGCGCTTCGACGCGATGTGGATTGCATCCAGGACCTCGGTGAACGAAACCTCGAGATCGCGATTGGCCTGATTGACGATCTTCTCGCTCCGAATATCCAGGATGCCGCCCGCGTCGCCGACGAGCGTCTCAGTCTTCAAACTGTCCTTCAACATCTCTCAGCCTTCGAAGGGAACGCCCAGGGGCGAATTGCCTCCGATGCCATGGTCATGTGATGCCAGGCGCTTGCGCCAAGAACGACGCGATAACTCAGCAAAACAACGGGGGCCTTCCTCCTCATCTTCTTGGCGGTGCCAGTGCCGGCAGCGTCTGCAGCTTCAGGGGTCTCGGTTTCCGCTGGCGCATCTGCCTGGGCAACATCTTCCTCTGCGTTGGCCCCTGGGGCGCCCTGCCCCTCGTTGTTCAAGACGGCCGCGCGCCAGAAGAAGTCGGGCGGGATCATCTTCAAGTCGTGCTGGGCGCCCCCATGCTTCCGCGACGCCGCTTGGAAACGTGCGTGCGCGTAGACTGTGCGCAAGTCCTCGGCCAGGGCGAGGTCCTTCGCGCCCATGTAGGCGAGCGCGATGGAAGAGTGGGGCATGGTCTTGGCCAGGGGCGCTTCGCCCTGAGCCTCAAGCCATACTTTCGTTGATTTGAATAATTCTATCACCGCCTGCAGCCTCGCCCCCAATTGTCTGAATGCAACCTGCATGTCGTGAGCGGTTTGCCCCATGACCTGAGCTGTATATTTTCCAAGGCGCCTTCCCAACGCCTGCGCCGCGCCAAGCTTGAACTCGTCGTGCCAGTCTGGGTGGCAAAGCCGTTCCACGTAAGTGTTGGTAGTTGCGCGGATGCGCCTCAGCGAAATTTAAGTCTGGCCCGTCGGAGGAGAGGCGCCCGGAGAAATGCGCCCTCGATGACGATCTCGCCCTCGTCGTCGACCGCGCTCGCCTGCTCGACATGGTCGTCGTCCTCGGTGGTCTGAGCCATCTTTGGCTTGATGGGCGGCGGCTTGACGCCAGTGCTGCGCATCGTGTGAATCATCGAGCTGGTCAGCTTCCTGCGCGTGTCCGCCCTTTCGTCGACGACCTCGCCCTCGGGTTCTTGCTCCTTCACTGGCGGTGGCTGCTGCTCGACGCGCGTCCTGAGGGGACAGAATGGTGAGCCTCAGCGACGAGGCGCCGACCAAACCGAATGAGTTGAAAGCGCAGCCAGTTCCCGCAACCGCAATGAGGGTAGCAACGCAGATGGCGAAGCGACATGGGGGCCACGGTGCGGGCGAGAAGAAATGACAAGACGTGGCAGCGCGAGACCAAGGCGATCCCTCCCGCCATCACCCTTGGCACCATGACGCTTTCAAGTGCCAGCGCCCCAATCACTATCAGTACTGTGCTCGTCTGCTGGCGCACCGATCGCAGATGTTATGGAGCGACGCCGTGTGTCTAGATGGCTGAGTGCCGTCGCATTTCGATTGCCTGGGGCCCTGTTTGGCTCAATGCTTTCTGAATTACGAAATGTCACTGGCTAGATCTTCGTGGCACTCAGCGCTTCCGCTTACCGGCTGCGACCCCCCCCGCCCGGGGGAGGGGGGGCTTACTTGGAGTGGGGGGTACTTAAAACAGCCGCTGCTTCAGCGCAAGACCTGAAGGGCGCCGATCCTCTGTGAGGCAGAGGCGGCGCGACCTGCGCATGCCACATGAAACTGTCACTGAGCGCGCTGGCTTCCCCCGCTGGATGCGGGGGGCGCTCCTGCCGTTCATGCAGCAATGCCCTGAGAGAGAAGGGCCCCCGACCCCCAGCCAAGGGCTGCGCGGCAACTGCAGGCCCTGCAGCGTCACTGGCCGCAGCGGCGCCGCAGCCGCCACCTGGAGCGGGGCCGTGTGACCCAGACGCCTCGGTGCCTGGAGGCGTGGCCACGGCGCCTGCGTGCTCCTCCATGGCGGACGCAGCTCCAACAGCAATGAAGTGCTTCGTCTGTGTCGAGCTCTTCCTCTACACCCAGATCTCCTCGAGGACCTGGCTCGCCCGCCAATGGGGCGTTGGCCGACTCGGAGATGCGCGGTGGAAGGCCTTCATGCGCGCGGTCAATCTCCTCTGCAGACGTCATGGACTCAGCGCACACGTCATCAGCCATATCAGAATCTTGACCACCGTCATGACCATCAACTCCTGGGCGGTCGTCGCAAATCGGTGGCGCGACGACGTGCGGCCCTGGCTCGAGGTCATCCTTGATCGGCAATGGGCCCTTCGCATGGTCATGGCCGCCTCGTGCGCCACCGCCGCTCCCGCGGCCCCGCCCTCTTCGACCTCGCCCTTCCTTCTGGGCCCTCTTGCGCGCGTCGATGCTGAACGGGTCGTCGTCGAACATGCTGTCAACGAGCTTCTGGTCTTTGGCTGCCTTGCTGTCGGTGCGATCGTTGACACTCAGAGGCGCCCGTTGCCCAGGGTCCCGCAAGCGGCCTGCGTAGCTGATGCCTGTGGTCTGAGACCGCCTGAGCGCGCCGCCAGAATGTTCGACGAAGTATTCTGCAACGATCAAACCCATGGAGCCCAGCTGTTCCACTAATGATGCGATCCGCTCATGCGAGCCCTTGGAGTCGATTGCGACGCGCTCGCCAAGCTTGCATCTGCGGTCTGCAATCCTCGCGAAGCACGGCAGCGCAAGGTCCCTGGAACGAGAGGGACATGTGTTGTTATTGCTTTCCTCCTCCTCCACCTCGCCCTCCTCCTTCTCCTTCTCCTCCTCCTCTGCTTCTTCCTCCTCCTCCACCTCGAAAAGTCCTAGATTCCTCCGATGTGATGCTGCCTTCGCCCCCGAAGTTCTGCGCCGTGACGTTGAAGACCTTGGGGTTGTACGTCGCGTCGGTCAGGATGCTGGTGAACCCGCGAACGCCGCCGCCAGCAGCGCGACCAGAGACGATAAGCATAATGTCAGGTCGATCAGCCAGCTTACGACCGATGCGGCGCTCGACGAAGTTGAACGCCCCCCTCTCCGCCATCTCGAACGCAGCTGGGTGACGAGACGTACTCGGGTCCACGTTCCCCGGGCTTCCCCCATATCCCCCAGCGAAGCTTCGAGGCCTCGAAATTGATGTCGCAATCGGGCCCCGCGCGACTCTCACTCGAGGAATGGTCGTGTACAACTTGATCTGAAAGCCATCCATGCCTGCGTGCCCATTTGCGCAGTTCACCGGGGGCAGCGGGGGTCGAGGTGCATCCCCCGCCCCTGATAATTGCATAAACGCTCGGCTTGCCCTGCTCCGTCGTCTTGGGCTTCATCAGCCCGCGCGCGCTTGAATCGTTCCTCGAACTCCGCCACTTTGTCTCTGGTCAATGAGCTACCCTTCGCGTACCTTGCGTCAGCCATGTACTGGTTCTTCGCAAGCAAGTAAGGGTTCAGCCCCCGATTTTCACCCTCCTCGGCGCCGTCCGCGCTGCAATCGGCCTCCAATGGGCTGGGTTCGGCCTGGACTTCGCGATCTCCCCCTCGAAATGCCTGGTTCTAGGCGCCGGTGCCGCTTGCTCTTGCTCTGGCACGATGGCCTCGACGGGGGCATCTAGCTCGCAAGAGGCGCCCTCCGCGGCGAGTACGACACTTGGCCCTTCCAGCTGAGGTGAACGAAGGTTCGGCGGGATGCTGATGAAGTCGCCCCGCAACGGCGTGCACTTAACAACCTCTCGACCGCCGCCGCTGCGCAAACGCCCTGCAGCCAATGGATTATTTCCGCCGTGCGTAGCGTGAGCCGCGCTAAGTTGGCGAAATAGATGTTCGCAATCAGCGATCGCAAGGTTACGACCGTGCGACCAGTGCCCCGACGAGGGTGATGATGCGCATGTTCGCTGTTGAGCCTCTCGATCATGTCGGTCCCGTAGCAGAGAGCCCTGAAGTCGGTAGACAACGTCGCAGCGCACTTGCTCGACATCAGGTTGTCCTCTGTGTTGTGGGGCTCCGTTAGGCCCCGAGCGTAGACGCCCTTGAACTCGCTGGGCGCGTCGAGGGCAGCCATGGCAGCGTTCCGCTTCTCGTCCTCGCTGGAGCGGTTGCGCGGGGGGGGGGGGGGGGGGGGGGGGGGGTGCAATGCGAGGGGTAGCCCGAAAATTTCGTCTCGCACCGTCTGGCCATCGCGGAGTTAAGTCGCAAGATTTGGCTTCGCGCCCATCTAGGAGACTCCTGCTCCACCAACGGCGCGCGCGGCATGTCAGGATGGCCCGCGGCTGCCTCCTCGCGTCGTCGGCCCTCCAAGAGTCCAACGAGAGGCACGTGTGATGGGTGGACTGACCTATGTTCGAGTCCTTGTCGAGAACGGCGCCCAAGTTAGACTTGGCCCCATCTGCCTCGCGAATGGAGCCCCCCGGCATCGGGTGCGAGAGATGCTTGTCGGCAGCTTCAAATATTCCAATGGAAACCGCCAGTTCGCGCATGTTGACCGCGTCGGTGTAGTGCCCCTTCGCCCTCTTAGCCCTTGTTCGAAAGACCATCCTCCAGTGATCGCCCGAGCCCTCGTCAATCTGTGGAAGTGGCTCAGCCTGCCCCTCCTCGAACTGGCGGCCCCTGCGAACGAGTCAATGCCGAGCCTGTAGGTGGGGCGACTCAAGGTTGCTTTCTTCATGCACGTCAATAAGTTGGCCCATCTCGACCCCGCTGGCCTGGCACCTGCAACTCCGTATAATGCGCGCGCTGTCGCCGCGCAAATTTCACCGATTGTCTCGGCCCTGCTCTTTGCAACGCGGTCGCCCCGAAGAAGAAGTGCAATGGTGCTCGATAGCGCCGCCTGTGGCGCTGCCGTTCAGGACCTGGCGAAGTGCCCGAATGCATTGAAGCATGGTGGACTCGTCCTCTTTATCTTCTCCTCTCTCATTGTGCCCAGCGCTCAGGTCGAAGAGCATGTCGCAGAGAACCTTGAGGGTGCGTGGAGATTGGGGCGGCTCCTGTCCGACAGCCCTCTCGACCTTCTTGGCCGCCGACGTCTCGATCCCTCGAGCGATGTGCATCGGGTTTCCGCGATGGCGGTTCATGGCGACGATCGAAGAATGTATCATGCAATGTCTCGTCGCGTCTGGCATCTTCAACTTCCCTCGGTGGTGGCCATGAGTCTGGCGCGCGTCGGGGAAAATTAGCAGATGCTTGCCGAGGTTGCCCAAGCTGGGCTTGACGACGTGTTGGAGACGATGACCAAACGCCTTGAGCATGGCAAGGTTCGCAGATGCTCTGTCAACCATTGGAGAGAACGTGAATGATGAAAGTTGCTTCGCCGTGTCCAAGATGAGAGAGCCAGCTGTCCCCGAGATGTCCAACTCCCTGGGTAACCCAGCCTGCGCCCCAGGTAATAATTGATGAGCTGCTGCACCGTTCGCCTCCGTCGGCTTCGCAAGGAAATATTGACCAGGATGTCCAGCATCGTTACGTGTAGTATCCATGAGACTGGTTGAAGTGTTCCTCCGTTGAATCGGCGTCGGCATGTTCATAGATTTCCGCATCGTTCGGTACAGTGGGGAAGGTCGCCAACTCTGCTTCACCTCCATCTCGTCCCACATGTGGCCACAACACACGTGTATGTGAGCGGACCCTCCATCATCTGCTGTCAGAAGCGACGAGCTCGCGCCAAGGATATGTTTTAGCCCAGCTTGTTGTCCGTCGAGCGTCGCCATGGAAACAATCGCAATCAATCTCCTTTGGTTCACGCGGGCGTTGCAATTACCCCTATCCTTGAAGAAACATGCGCGGGGCGCCAACAAGAAATCTTGAGCTGAGATATGCCGCTTCCGCCCAAGTGCTGCTCCTTTATACCCAACTCCCAACGACAACTTCGCAGTGGGAATCCCACCCGACAGGTCCTGAATTAGTGTCGAGCTCTTCATCTTCTCCTGTTTGGCTCTGTCCTCCAAGAGCTTGGCCCGCTTGCTTGCTTTCGCGTTCCTGGCGTGCATTGCAATTTGCTATGACCGTAGACGCATCTTCTCCCTCGGCGGTTCTGCAACGACGTCCTCTTTGATGAGGTCGAAGTCCTCCAACCCAGCGATCTGCCGACCTGCGTCCGCCAGTGGGCTTGGACCTCCTGGAAGTGGATGTGGATGTGAAGTGGATGTGGAAGTGGCTGTGGAAACTGGTCCCCAAGGTCTGGTAAATCATCTGGCCCTCTACCGTGCAAAGCTGGATCTGCAATCTCCGGAGCTCGAAATTCATCCTCTGGTAGTGGGCTCATGGAATCCATAACTTCCGCCAGGTCAACAGCGAGGCTGTCCTCAGCTGGCGCCGCCAAAACATCCGCCATCTGAGCAATATGGATAAGCGCACCAAACGCGAGGTATATGGAAGAGCGACACATGTCGAATATGGAAACGCAAAGTGGTTACGGACATGCAGGACGAGGCCCCTCGAGGCCCTGTTTCGACCCTTGAATTACCCAGAGGGAACCACACCCTGGCAAAAAACACGCGCCGACGTCAGAGTTGGTTTGGCTCTGGTTTGGGTCCATGTGATGGCACGTTACGTTTGAACGTTGGGGCATGGATGAACATGAAGGCATCGATACAACCGGCCTCGAAGGCCCTCTCAGGAGAACATTTGAGCTATCCCAAATCCAGCCCAAATCAAAAACACCCCAATAACAGAAGACAATCTGATTCGGTGCTGTCAAGTTCATGCATGTAAGCAACACCGAAGCGAATTCCGGATATCGCGGTCTCCCCCCTCGCCGTCGACAAAATCGATATGGGCGTCGTAGGCCACTGGAGGAATGATGTGGGTGAACTTCAGGAGGGGGGCGTCATGAACAACGCGGCTTTCATTTGGATTATGGCCCAAGCCCAATGGTACAAACACTCATCCCATGATGCCGAACCCCCTATCATCTTTCGGGTCTAGCCTCAATCCACCCCTGCGCTTCTGCCGAAAAAACCACCGTGGTATGTATATCTCACCGCTGTGTTCTTTGTCCCTCCCATCTCTCATCCCCCTTCCCTCCTTTCAATCCCTCCTCCTCCTGTTCCTCCCCCTTACGCCGATGCCGTGACATATCGATGCGACGGTTGATGTACTGGCAGATGGTGATGGATAGCGAACATGAGCAATGGCCTGCTCCACAAGCGGGGCCAATTTTTTGCTCGAAGGCCCCTAAGTGACTCACAACTTTCGTGTTGATTTCCCTAGCGTTTCGTGAAGCGTGTTCCTCTTGACGCACCCCCGTGGCCCTCTGTATAGAGATCCTGGATCTCAGGCCACAGGGCGCTCTCAAATAACAAGGGCGCACGGTAAGGATGCAATGGCCTTGGAAGGCCGTGTCGACACTTTGCGAGCGGGGCGCGGCCAGCGAAAGCGGGCAAGAATGGGCCGAAGGGGAAGGATGCACGGGTTAACCTTGGAACATCGCTCATTCGTACTGTGAGGGTTGACTGTACGCGCGACCTTGCGCGAGCAGCCTGCGCGCCCATATCGGTGACGACGACCCTGTTTTCTCCCGCCGCTCACCTCGCCCCGCAGGTCCGCCACCTCCAGGTCGTGCGCGGCCGACAACGCCTCAATCTTGTCGCGGAACCCTGCGCCGTTGTGCGAAGTGCCCCTCGCCAGAGGGCGCCGACTATAACGTACAAAAAGGCGCCCAACGTTGCAATTCGCGCTGCGAGAAGCGCAAACAACTTCGCGCTCTCGCGCCGCCCCACAGGGGAGAAGAGGAAGATGAGGAGGAATCGGAGCCGAACCGCGAAGTGCGAACAACTGCGTGCCCTCGAGGGCGCCCTTGCGCACACCGATCCTGACCGGGCCGATGCTGGGCCCAGGATTTGTGCGCATGCATACCTGGCCAAGGCCAGGGAGGGCGTATGCTCCCATCCGGCGGGGCGGGCGGGCAGGCGGAAGGGGGGCAGGGCGGAGACAGCGGGCCGGGAGCAGGAGAAACAGGGAGGGAGGCAAGGAGGGGGAGGAGGAGAGGGGACGCAACCGCAAGCAGACAAAGGCAGAGAGCAGAAGGAAAGGGAGGAGGAAGGGGCGGCGGCGGCGGAACAGCTCATGGTCACTGAAAGGCTCCTTGGAACAACTGGCGACCCCCGTGCGCAAACGAGGTGCTCTGGCCCTGGCGGTGTCGAAAAGGAGCCGAGTCCCCCCCCCCCAGCAGGGTCAAAAGCCACCCATGGGGACTCCACTGGGTATGCCACGGGTCGAGAGGCCACCACCCTACCAGAATCAGAGACGCACTGGCGGAAGGAAGGGGGAGGCCAACCCTCGCCATCGCTCGGACGTCCATTCCCTGTGTGTTTTCTCGGCTTCGTGCGTGTTTTTTGGTCGCCAAACGATCCAGGATGCTCCTCGATGGCCCTCGCCGAAGGAAAAATGCACACGTCCGAGCGATGCCAAGATGCCCGGCCGAGGCGAGGGAGGGCGCAGGAGGAGGGCGCAGGAGGAGGAGGAGGCGGAGGAGGAGGAGGAGGAGGAGGAGGAGGAGGAGGAGGAGGAGGAGGAGGAGAGGAGGAGGAGGAGGAGGAGGAGGAGGAGGAGGAGGAGGCGCAGGCACCCGTCCTGGGCCCCGGCTCCGCGCACGCGCGCGCCCCGGTCGGAGCCGGGAGGGCGCCACGGCGGGGGAAGGCGCAGTGGCGGCCTCGGCGGGTGGCTGCTGGCACCGCGCGGGCGCCTGCCGCCCCGTGGCGATCGCGGCTTGCCGAGGCGGTCGGCCCGCATCACGAGGATGCGCGATGATGAAGGGGCCCAAGGACACAGCAATAAATACACACAAATAAAACAATCCCCTTATGTTTTCCAATATTTTCTGGGTTTCCGGCTTCCCGCCCACTTCCCATCTTTTCCCATATTTTTGGGACATCGAAGATCAAGTGTGTCTGTGTGTTTCTTTTCCTCCTGAGATGAGGAGGCAAGGGCCTGCAGGAGGCCCCTTCCGAGGCTTTTCGCGCGGGGCGCGGCCAGGGAAAGTGGCCCAGGATGGGCCGGGGAGGCAGGCATGCAAGGGTACCCCGGGGAAGGCGACCCACTCTTACGATGCGGGTTCACCATGACGCAGATCGTGCAACTCGAGCCCATCACTGGGCCGCTGGCGGCGTCCAGCCTGGAGCGCTCACGCTGGGGTTGCCGCCGCGTCAGCGCGGCGCGAGCCTTCCGTGTGCAGCCGTGGCCCCGGGCAGGCCCGACCACACGCGGTGCAGGTGCAGCCGGACCTGGGCCCGAAGAGCACCCCTCGAGAACGCGAGGCCCTCCGCCGGCCCGAACGCACAAGGCATCCAGGGGTGCCTCCCCGGGGTGCACAAGAAGAACATCCAACACATACGAAGACCTCGATCTTCTACCTCGGTCCGACTGCAGGGAGGAAGAAAAAACGCCATAAACATACACTTCTGGCGCTCCGCGCGGATTTCTTCAGTCTGCGTTGGACCCCCTCCCTGGCGCGCGAAGCGCGCCAGGGGCGGCGCGAAAGGCGCCGCGAGGGGGGGGCCCAGCGCGGATCCCAAAAATCCGCGCGGAACTCGAAACATGTATATTCATGGCGTGTTTTCTCCTTAGAATGCGCGGTCCCCGGAAATCCCGACCCTTTCCCCGGGACCGTTTTTTTTTTTTTTTTTTTTTTTTTTTTTTTTTTCCTCCGTTTTTCAAACAAATGTTTTATTTCTTTCCGACGACATGGAGGCCAACGCGCTTCACGGTGTGTGAAAGTACTGATGGCCGCTACCACGAGTGAGAGGGAGTCGACCATGCTACCCGAAACTCCGAAGGCGTCGGGCATCACCGTCGAGCTCCCCTGGAAATTAAACAGTCTGAGCTCGTCGCTGCAGCGCCTCCGAGTGAATGGCTGCCTCGTGCCTTCAGTGGCCGTGCGCTGCAACTGTGCCGCACGCGTATGGCGGGCGGACAAGCGCTGCACGCGGAAGAGGCCCTGAACAACTGGCGATCGCCCTGGACCGCCCCCCGCTCGGACTGGCTCCGCGTAGTGACCCATACAGCTCAAGCGGTCTCGGGCGCAGGATCTAGAACGGTGCGTGAGAAAGACGGAGGGGGGGGGAGCTTGTACCCTCACACCTTCAGGAAAATGAGAAGTCGGCGGCCTCGTCAGCGGTCCGATTCTGCTCAGTACTAGCATCGTTATCCTCAGCGGGGCCTGGTTCATTGTCGGGTGAGGGTGCGCGTGCTGGTGAACTGTTTTTTGACGGCCCTGGGGCCCGGCGAGGGCCTCCAGAGGCCGAAAACTGCGAAAAACCTCTGGCCGGAACCTTTCACGACGCGATCGTGTCCGGGTCGGTCCGACTGCAGACCGTCGGCGCCCTCTCGGCCTCGAGCGCACCCTGGGGCCGCCCGCGGCGGCGGCGCCAGCCCCCGACGGGCGCAGCCGCTGCGCGGCCGACGCGTGGAGGCCGCCGCCGACGGCGCCGCCCGGCGGCTCCTGCGGGTGCGCCGCCTGCCGGAGGCCGCGGTCGGGAAGCGCTTCTGCGCGGCGCGCCGCGGCGGCGGCCCCGACGACACGCGGCGCCCTGCGAGCGTGAAGTCGGGCACATGTCCCTCTACGGAGGAGTGCTCAAGCGCAGTAAAGAGTAAAGAGTAGTCGGGTGACGATTGGTCGTGCTCTTTTTGGACTATGATTTGGCAGTCTTGTATCTCTCGTCCAGAATCCGCCTGTAGGAGGACATGCCCGACCTGATGCGAGCGGACGGGGCGTAGATGCCCGGGGACGGGGAAGCGGATGGCGTGCTGTGCCCAAGCCGGGTGGGCCAGAGCCGGCGGCGCATCTCGCCGAGCCAAAGCTCCTGATCGTCAGCGTGCTGGCTGGGGGTTCCGAAGGGATGTCCCTGGCCAAAGGCGTCCCCCGGCTTCTCGCGGCTCTCTGGAGCCCATGGGGCCCCACTTGGCTTCGTGAGGGGTGCGGTGCTGGAGGCCGTGGGGGACTCCTCGGAAACAAGATCATAAGAAGCGCTTCCGAGCCACACGCGCCCCAGGGTTGCGCACGCGCATCGGCGACAGTCGTTCCCGGCATGGCGCACGAGCGTCTCGACCCAACCCCTGCCACCCGACCGAAAAAAAACTCGCCGCCGAGACAAGCGGCCACGTCCGAGACACCAAGACTCCGAGACACCTCGCCACTGAGACAACAAAAGGAGTCCCAAGACCATACTATTCTGAAATATTCCTACCCTGTGCCCCCGATATGAATCTCCCGGGGAAAATAAAATTCGGGGTCCCAAGGGGATAGTAAACATTTTGACCCGGCAACTCGGATGTACGGGTGTACGGCTGCACGGTGTGTGTGGTGCAGTAGAAGTAGTCGTAATTGTAATCGTGGTAGTAGTAGTAATGATACTGGTAATAACAGAAGTAGTGGTGATAGTAGTAGTAGTAGTAGTAGTAGTAGTAGTAGTAGTAGTAGTAGTAGTAGTAGTAGTAGTAGTAGTAGTAGTAGTAGTAGTAGTAGTGTAGTATAGTAGTAGTAGTAGTAGTAGTAGTAGTAGTAGTAGTAGTAGTAGTAGTAGTAGTAGTAGTAGTAGTAGTAG